TTTATATTTGTGTGTGTTTAAGCGTGTGTATGTGCGTTTATGCGTGCAAGTATATATATATATATATTTATGTGTGTGAGTTTATATATAGATTTGTCATATATATATATATATATATGTGTGTGTGTGTGTGTGCTTGTGTGTTCTTATATGTGTGCGTATATATATATATATATGTGTGTGTGTGCTTGTGTGTTCTTATATGTGTGCGTATATGTGAGTGCGTGCATATACAAAAGACTCGCGCACGCTCAATTTATTGTACACACTGCGGAATAGGCGCCAACAACTCAACGCAAGACAGATATTTGCACTGGACATACGATATACACGTATACATACCTCTAAGGCATGTTATACATACCCTCCAAGGCATATTATACATACCCTCCAAGGCATGTGCATATACATAATCATAATCAGAAGGACACAACAGCAGAAGAATTGACTTGTGAATCTCATATATGCATACATGGCACATGTGCATACATAGTGCAATGTACATACACATATATGATACATGCAATGTCATGTAAATCGCGTTGGTTACCTCGCATCATTCTTGGCATTGCCCTTTGCTGTGGGAGTGGCCTCTCCGAGGAGCTCTTTGACTTTGTCGGGTGTACCGTACTCTGTGCTGGCATAAGCGGCAGCAGCACTCTGGTGAAGATAGCAAGCAAAACGGCCGAATAACACGTTGAGCAGTTATATACAAACGCATGCATGTAGCAACGTTATACACGTAGATCTACACATGTGTATAAGTAGTGTAATATATGGAATTGAGCATACAAATCGGTTTTATAAATCACGTTATATTAAATTGAGCTTACAACCAGGTTATACAAATCAAGCCATTGCTATCTCACGTACGGGCTGCTTACTGATGTGTACCCAGGGAGATGAACTCTCCCGGATAAACATAAAGTTGTCAACATATTCAACATACATATACGCTTGACGCCATTTTAGACATATGTATACGTAAAACTACCCAGAATTCGACATGAACAATCTATAGATGTTTCTTGGCATATTTTCCCGGGAACATTGTCGTCCTAGTGCAACTATGTATGCTTGTAAAATTCGCTTGGATAGGTTTCCATTTAGAAAATACATAATGTATGAACAATTGACACGCAAACAGGAACTTCACCTTGCTATGTTTGATACGGCCATTAGCCCAACCGCAAAGCCCTGTCAAAACAACTTCTATCATTCCAATATACCCGCATACACTCAGTCATGCGTATGTTCAGAACACAACAATCAGGCACAAAACAGGTGTATATGTACGTGTATATTAGATTCACACATGTGCGACTATTTGCGTCTGTGTGCTTGCCTTTACGATTCAAATGCAACCCACCTCTCGCTTGAACTCTTCCAGAGCCTTCGCATCGATAAAGGGCTTCAACGCCTCCGCAGTCGTCTTGGCGCTGTCCTTGGTGATGTTTTCAGCCACACCCAGCACAACGTTAAGGCGTTCGTAGTATCCAGCAACAGGCCCGCTGAGCATGTTGTTCACATTGATGGTAGACACGTGGATCATAGCCCAGAGCGCTGCAATCAGATGTCAGTTTGGTGCAAGCAAGTGTCAGGACTTCATGACACGTGTCCATATCCGTATCCCTCGTCGTGGGCAAATGCACGTGCGTCTTTGGATAGCAACACTATTTTGCGCCGTTCATGGTTATCGATAACAGGCCCTCTACGAATGTTGTTCACATTGTTGGTAGACGCTTGGATCGAAGCTCATAGCGCTGCAGCTATAGAGAAGGCGCGCAAGCGAATGCCAGGATATGCAACAAAGATACACGATTTGCGTTACCAAACACATCCGAGTTTGTTTCCTCACGAAATCACGTGCACAAGTTTGGTAAAACATGTGCATGCGATTCATACATACAAACAATCATACACATGTGTGAGATATCACTGTACGAAGGTTTATACAAGATATTACACTCAAGCTAAACATTTATATCGGCGGTCGACACATTGTCAAGCGCTTGTAGCGACGTGACACCATAGTCTGCACTGAGCGTTCCCGTACTACTGTCTACTTTGTATTACTTCTGCAAAAAAAAAGCACACGCTCATTTATATATATATATATATATATATATATATGTATAAACACGCCAGCACACGCCTGTGCCATATACCTATATCGGCGGTCGATACATTGCCAGTGCCGTTATATAGACGGGGAAGCATAGTGCTGAGTGTGTCCATGCGCACTTTGTATGACTTCTGCAGGTAAGCATCGTCGGGTACGGCGATCTGGCCGAGCACAACAGGCCTAAACTGAGCCTCCTCCCATTGGATGATCTCGTTACATCTGTGAGTTTAGGCATATACGAATATGTATATCAATTCCCAATGGAATATCTCATTACACTTATGAGTGTATATATATATATATAAGGCATGTGTGAATACGCACATGTCTTTGAGTGTGTGTATGTGATTACACTTGTATATAGTTTTGTCTTTCGATGAGTGTATGTGGATGTGTATACGCGCATGTGTCATTGAGTGATTGTTTACGTGAGTGTGTTGGCTTGAGTTCATTTGTACACTACCATATACACTTCCAATTGCCCACACAAAAACCACCCGCGTGTAGTCATGTCTCCAAAATAACTAAACCGCCTCAACTAATACATATACGCCACAATTATCCGCTGCACCCTGCTCGGGTTATAATATAGCCCACCCACACTGCCTAGTTCACACAGATATTCTATTACCGCATGTGCCTCGTTATAACATACGTTGATTTAGTGGTGTCCTCGGTAAACTCTCCCATCAGATACGCGCATGCCGCATTACTGGAGAACAGCTTGACACCCCCTGGAAGCTCCAGGCAGAGTCCTTCCACATCGTACATGAAATAGTCCGATGTAGCTGAATGATAGAGATTGTTTATCAATGTTATTGACCATACAATGCTATACAACCATATCAATGGACGGACATTCGCATATGCACATTGTTATCCTTTCTTTCTAGTGTACTCTATGGCGTATACAGAGGCCTCAAAAATAGACCATACGTAGGACTTCTCCGGGTTTACACGGTGTTCAAAGCAAATACCAAAGTCGCTGGATACTGATCTTAAAAAGTCGCTGGATGTTGATCTTTTCGAAATATTTCAGGTAGATTTGAACACCTCGAGTAAATGAAATGTCCTATACATTCAGAATTCTGAGATTTACTATACATACACAAGCATCACGCCTTATCAAACCTAGAGTTCGGTGTGGAACTTGTTAAGACAAAATGAGATGATGGGGAACTCTCCGGTGCCATTGCATTCCGCAAATCCCTAAAAGTGTAAGAATATGCCCGTAGCCTGCAATATTCCAGGTGTACCAAGTACGGTACACGGCCTATGACATATACATACACTTGCAACATAAGCATCGTTAGTTTCATTCGTATAAGACTGCACTACACATGCACAAAAAATTCCCACCAAAGATTATACACGATGACTACGTATACACAGCCCAGACACAGAGACATGCAAACACACTGAAAAGCATGTATATACACAATCCACCAAACCCGTCAATAAAGAACACACATACACTTACTAAACCTCACAGAGACTTTTCTGAATAAACAACTACACCTGCTTGGGAGACATCCAGAACTATGTCTTTCAGCTTAGCCGCGGCCACAATCTTGGAGGCAAGGATGTTGCCCTCTGTGTGAGTGAGTTTCATCTTGCGGTGGATGGGGCAATGTCTACGGGAGCAAATGAAGATCAAATTGAAGTTATTAGTTAGTATTAACCCACAAAGGACTGGATGGTGAGTACTAACCTTAACAGAAATACCGGCTTCGAAGTGTGGTACAGAACCACGGTATACAAAAAAACTGTACTACCAGAACTGCTGTGAACATATATGAGATTATATGCAAAACAATATTAAGTATCCATGTAACTATAATCTATCACTATATGTATATATACACTCCATATATAGTATAAAAGTATATAGAAACATACAAATATATATATATATAGACAAGGGAGCATAGTTACAAAAATAAAAATATACATACATCAGTATAGATATTAAAAACACACGTACATAACAACATACAAACAAGATCTATATACTATTATATATATATATATATTATATATATATGCTATATATACTATATATATATATATAAGTGTGTGTGTGTGTGTGTGTGTTTGTGTGTATATATATATGTATATACATACATTATATATATATATACATGCTTACATACATACATACATACCGACTCACACCGACCCACACCGACCCACATCAACCCACAAACACACAGTATATATACATATACATATGTATACATATACATATACATATGTGCATGTTTAATTATA